TATTCGATTAGTAAATAGTTCTTATATCCATCTTACAAGCTTCCTTGTTTAACAACCTTACAAGTTAAACCATGACACTGATAGTCTTAATAATTAGCTGAGCACCTCTAAAGACAAAGAGCTTTGCTGATTTTGAGACCAAAGTAAGTCTGAAACAGTCTTCCTGAGGCGGGAAAATGTGCCCCCAAAAGACACAAGATCTAATACAGCAACATTTCTATGTCTTGCTGAAAATTTGTGCTCTAAGAATCACCAGCTTCTGCTTCAAGGGCAGTACACACCACCAGTTTAGCTGGATGGTTTTAATTTTACTATTACTGATCAGTTTACAGGTACAGAAAACAAATGCATGGGGCCTTTTAACAACGATGACTTACCATTGTTATGTTATTTCCATTTAGCAAAATCTGGTCTAGCTTTGTGATTCTTCTGCCCTCGGGTGTAATCTCACTGAAGTAGCATTAGAAAAAGTAAGTAAGAACACAAAACCAGGAACCACGATTACAGTTTTGTTTACAAAACTGACATAAATCTTGGCATTAAGATGACATTTGTTGGAACTAACGAATAATTCAGTCACACTGCAGTGTAATCTCGATAAATTGAACACCTGGTAAAGAAAGCTACCTATCAGCTACAAAGATCCGTTGTACTTTTCTGCTCAGTACATAAACATTTAATCTCTAACTCTTGGCAATTTCCTGAATACCACCAAAACTCAAAATAGGTTTCCAAGAGAACATGGCATGACAAAGTAACAGATACTTACCCCTAAGTCTACTGGCTTTTTAAATCTTTGCCTAAACCTTAAGGAAACCTAAAAGCAAAGAAACTACTGGAAAGTTCAACACACAGCCCATGCAAAATAAAGGCTGCAAGTTCGCCGTGATTACAATCTACTCTATGACATGGCTGTCCTGAATAGATCAACCTCTACCGCTTAAGTCCAAGGTATAAACTATTCAGCTGACATGTATTAAAAAAAATATATAACAATACTTTGCTTATAGGTCTTACATAATATTTTTTCCTCGGGAAACAAAAAAATAAATAGCAACAAGAGGTAGAAATAATACTTACAATTCTGTAACGTCTTCTAACACCATATCTGAAAATCCAGTTTCATGGAAAATAAGGGTCAGAATTTTCAAATAAAAATATTCAGTTATTTTCATTTTATACTGAACGTTATCTCTAAAAGAAAAACTTCTGGATAATACAATTAATCCATACAAAAAGGTTCTATCCAGTGAACTCAAACCTCTCAAAAGGAGTAAGTTAATTTAGACGAAGCACAAAGTGGGTGGCCTTAAACACTTTCATCACAGGATACTGACAAAGTCATCAAATCCTAGAAGCGTTCCAACAATTTCTTTATCGCTCTTCATAACAATATGAATGCGTGAACCTATACATTTGTCCACAAGTTCTGTAAATACAAAAAAAAAAAAAAATGGACTAGAGATTATTTTGTAAAACATTCATTCCTTCGAACAAAACCCCTGGCACTCCGACGGCGAAACTGCAAATGCGGCAGATACTGGTAAAAAACTCACAGGCATAAGGAAAAGAGAAGCAGCGGGAGGCCCCGCGGCCTCCACCCGCGCAGGATTTGGTCCTTGACGGCTGAGAGCGTCGGGAGCCAAGGCGAGAGGCTTCACCCCCCGCTCCCCGGCCGCGGAGCAGCGGGGGCGCCGCCAG